TTCCATCTGAATAAACTTGTGTCTCATATACTATTTTTGCTTGCATTTGCATGGAGCTGATTGTTAAGTTCTAAATCATTTCACGAATCTCTTTAACAGTAATTTATAAAAGTATATTATTATTATTTGCACAAAAAATAATAATTGTAAAATCGTTAATAAGATTCGACACCTTTTTAAATAACTACTTTGTCTTAAAAAGTAGCTCAGAATTACGTAATAATAATAAATGATAAAACAATTTTCTTAGTTTTAAGCTCTTAAATTAATAGCGTAATAATAGCGGTACAGGAAAATACCTTTAAATTAAGGATATAAAATTATTTATGGAAAAACAATAACTTTATGACTTTTAAAAATTTTACGCTAATGAAAACCAAAAAATAGGAAAATGAATGAGGCAAAACTAGATCCAACCACGTGATTTTCCAGCCAATAAAAATGTATTTGAAACAAAGGAAAACTGTGACACTATCATTAGATTTTATTTATAGTAAGATTCATAATAATTATATATTTCTTGAAAAATAATAATGAAATGCACATGGGATGCATTTTCGACGAAAGACAGCGGCGATCGGATGGCGACTGGCAAATAATATTTCCAATTATTTCATTTTTTTCTCCCTCTGGCGACTATTAATTTTGCAAGGTTTTGGCCTTGATGCATCTCGTTAAAATAATGATGAGTCTTTTATTATTTGACATCCATTAGCACAGCTCTTTCATTTTCATAAAGGTTTCGGTCTCAAACTTGAGAGGATTTCAGTAAGAAATCTTTTTAATTGAGGGGGAAAATGGAATCAGGTGAGCAAACTGGGGGGGGGGTAGCATCAAGAAGTTATTTTAAATCATGAATGGCAATGAATGTAAAGCAATTGATTTGGAGAAGAAAAAGAAGCTTACGACTAAATATCGCAGCTATCGAAAACATCACTTTTTTCAGGACTATTATGTAAACAAGTCCACAAAACCACTTATATTTTATTTTATGACCGTCGTTGAACAGTCGAGCCAATATTTGGGTTTACTACTCATAATGTTCAACTACGTAGCCTTGTGATTTTTTACCTAATCCAGAAGAAAAGGGAACTCCTGGATCAAGTATTGGTTGAAGTTAGCCTTCGCGGAGGACTTTTTGATGGAACTAACCCGTATTTGCGTTACATGGAGAGGAAGACGACGAAAACTTCCCACGGTTAGCCTGATGGCAGGGGGACTCCAATCAACCCCTCCTAGAAAGAACAGGCCTCAGCACGGGTTACCATAAATATCCCTTAGTAGTCCAAACGTAATGACATATTTTGTATTTTCAACCACTGCGCAGCTTAGTACCTCTAACGTAATGGCATCTTTCTTATTTTTCGTCTACTGCGCAGTTAACTTCGTCTCATCGGACTACTAAATTGATCCGTGCTGAGTCCTTTCTACTTCTAAGAGGTGTTGCTCTAACCCATGATCCGTCTACCACTGAGGATATTTTGCGTCATCACTGTGGTCGGTGCTAGTCGGGTATAGAATTCGTATCGACTAGCCATTACTGGGATTCGAACCAGATTCACCTCATTGGAAAACAAACGCTCTATCTTTTGAGCCACCACGACTCTCTCAGTTATAATTTATTTTATAACCGTCATTGAACAGCCGACCTGATTTTGGGTTTACGACTACTAATGTTTAACTCTGTAGCCTTGTAATTTTGAGTTAATCCAGAAGTCAAGGAAACTCTTTGATCAATACACCCAGGGGTGTGACTTGTTATGGGAACATGAATTCAATCTTTGTGACCCAACAGATTAAACATGCATCAGTCACCATTTACTGCACACAGAGTCTTCGGCTGGCAGAAATCGAATCCACAGCCTCTTGGACATGGGCCAAGTGCCCGACCAACCGGGCAACCCCGGCCCTCGCAGTTATATTTAACATATTTAACACGTTACTATTAACCACAATAGAATAGCAAAAACATAAGCCCATGGTGCAAGAAGTGAGATTTGAACCCATGCCCATATTCGTGGACTCAAATTCCACATTATTTACCCCTTTATAAGTGACTTACATGAAGAAGGCCTATCTTAAAACTTTCAATTGGAATGATTCTTGTGAAAATAGATGACAAAAAAGTCAAATTACATTTACCTTTGTTAACTGATTTAATGATGCTCATAACATTTTTTTGTGTAAGATCAGTTGGTTTAAGAACGGAAAATGCAGTTCTAGATAAAACCCATAGTTTGAAAATTACCTCCAATATTAGGAAAGATTTTAAAGAAAATGAACGCCAACTTTTATGACTCAAATCCTGTCTAGACTAGGAAATTGTAAAACATAATCCAATTTAGAGCGTCACACCTTTTCACAATTATTCTTGGTTTTTCCTTAATCCGTTGGGTCTCTTAAATCAGATACACCGAACACAGCAATCTCATTTTGCGAAAGAGTTTCTCATCGCACCATAGGAAAACAATTTCCACGTGTGTTGGATTTTAAATATTATTTTTCTTATTAATAAAAGGGGAAGAAAAAAGATTTCCCATCCGAAACCCTTTTAATTTTAAACGATTTATTTAATTTATTGCCGATCAAGAATAAAAATAATCTGGAATGTAATGGTTCCTTTATTGTTTATCTCATTGTAAAGTATTATTTCTAGAAATTGCTTACTCAGAGATCCCTCTCGTTTTCCACAGACATTTTCCCCCATCTGAAAGTTTTTCAAAGATAATTTAACGCAACTGAAGTCATTTTATTATAGTGTCTGATGAAAGATTTGCACCCAGCCCCCCAATTGCACCCAATTTTGACATGCGCTTTAAAAATGCACAGATTCAAAAAAAAATAATCTATGAAAATATGAAAATACAGTCAAACCCCGTTATAGTGAAATTTCGGTTCACTGTAACCGGGAGTTCACTATATCCGTACTGCAAACAGTTTTAAGTAATTTTTCCGAGCTGACCTCTTTTATTACACATTATTTAAATAAATGAGCAATAAAAAGAAATACAAAAATGATCAGAAAGAAAAAAAACAATATGTAGTAACAAAAAACGTGCTAACTTTTACTTCTTATTACTCTTCGTCTTGTGTACAAAAAATTCAAGGATGGCCTGTATTTAGGGATAGAAGAAGCAAACGAGAAAAAATGCTTATGGCTACATTCAACTCAATAGATGGTTTTAAAAATCTAACCACTATGTATGTATTTTATGTAAAAATTTCAAAATTACCAAAAAATGAAGAGAAAATTCACTATATTCACAAAATACTAGTTATACATGAAGATATACACTTTTGATTCACTATATTCACAAAAACTAGTATTATATGTGTATAGCAAAGCACGGGAGCGAACATTTCGTTCACTATATCCGGGAGTTCACTATAAACCATGTTCACTGTAACGGTGTTTGACTGTATCTGATATATTTTGTTATACTTCGTTATATATATAAAAAAATTCTATCTGAAGTGGAAGATTTCAGATGGAATGTATCGTTTAAAATGTTGACTGGTCATTATTCGGAAGCTTTGGAATTTTTTGATGGATAAAAGGCAGTTTTCCCCAGGAAAATAATCCCAAATCTCAACAAACTTATGCTGGAATATCCTAGTTTCAAGTATAAGATATACATTATGAAAAGTTTTATCTATTTGTGTTGACTGTAAACAGACAGAAGGGAAAATAAGCATCGCCTAATATCTTTTTGTAAGGTAAGGGCAAACGCTGAATTGGAAAAGGATTTCAAGGGTCGGATTTTCCAGAAAAAGAGGACAACCGAAGCGTGTTTTGACAGATCATAATCGTTTTTTTTTAAATTTAATTAAATTTCAAATGCAGCAATGAAAAAACAATAAAATTATAAATTTAATAAAAAATATACATTAAAAAATTAATACATTTCATATTAAGAAAACATATTAAAAATAGCACATTTACTTATTATTCATGAGATAATTTAAGTTTGCCAAGTGGGAGGCAACTTCACAATTTTGAGACATGAGCTATTTTCGTATTTACTTCGAATATTTTTTTTATTTAATCGTATTTACTTTTATTTTTATTACTTTTTGTATTTACTTTCGAATATTCTTTTTATTTATTTTGCATTTGAAGCCTGAAATTTTTTGAAGAATTATGTATGGTCCTCTGAAGGTAGGTGGAAGTTTTTTCTAGTGAAGGGGTATTTAAAATCTTCATACTTTACACTATCGTTAGGAGAAAATTCGAAGAGAGTGAATCTTTATTTATCACAAATGCTCAGGAGATTAGCTTTTCCGCAAACATAGATTATCAATTCTATAATTCTAATAATTATTCTTATCATTGACATTATTTATTCTAATAACTTTTGCTATCTTGATAGTTTCGGCATTTTTCTGGGAAAAAGCTAACAGTTAGTTAGAAATGAAGTAAAACTAGCAAAATAAAATATAAGCTACTTATGAAAACATTCAGTTTTTCTCCCTTTTCATGGCAATCTAAAATTTTAGGTACTTTCATGAAATTTGAATTCACAGTTACTCTGATTGAACTGAATGCGCAACAGTCTTTACAGAAATGCGCAACTCATCGAATACAATACACTGATCACGCATTACATCGTCATTTCTGAACCGATAACCATATAAAGTAATAAATTGTACTCCCGGTCAAATGACCGGAAGTGGTAGAAATAGGTATACGACAAGTATTATTCGAAAGAAAAGAAAAATTCATTAAGTCAAATGCGTCGAAACAATAAGATGAGAAGCACATTTTTGATGCAAAAGTACTTAAACGGTCATTCCTCTCCTATAAAATCCCTACTCAGAGAGAAAGAAAAATGCATAGCATTACACACCGAAAAAGTTAAATAACATAAGTCATATTGAATGTAATGTAATTGAAAATAAGCAAATCTAATATTACCTAGACATAACATATATACAAATAAACATAGATATACCTAGATAACAGATACACTTAGACATAACATTGTAAAACCTCTTCCTTTCCCTTCCTTTCCTTTTGATTCACCTCTTATTCTACTGCCCTTTTTAGTTCTTCTATCTTCTCATTCCCTCTAAGGAATGAAATCCTAGAAGTCAACCTTTATCAATTGAAAACTGATTTCCTTTCCAAACCCTACGACAGAGAAATAAAAATGCTGCGCATTACACACCATCCAAGTTAAAGAATACAACTTTGATTCAATGCAAGTAATATAAGTAAATTTTATATTACCCAGAAATAACATTGCCACAATATCTAACATCAATCTTCGTTTCCCTTCCTTTCCTTTTGGTTCACTTCTTATTCCACTGCCCTTTTTAATTCTTCTATCTCCTCATTCCCTCTGAAGATTGAAATCCTAAAAGACATCCATTTGACATTGAAGACTGATATTCTTTCCAATCCCTGTTAGAAAGAAATAGAAATGCTGCGCATTACACACCATCAAAGTTAAAGAATATAACTTAGATTGAATGCAAGTAACATTAGTAAATTATATATTACCCAGAAATAACAGTTCCACAATCTGTAAAATATCTTCGTTTAACTTCCTTTCCTTTTGGTTCACTTCTTATTCCACTGCCCTTTTTAATCTTCTCATTCCCTCTGAAGATTGAAATCCTAAACGACAACCTTTTGGCATTGAAGACAGATTTCCTTTCTAATCCCTGCGTGAGAGAAATAAAAATGCTGCGCATTATGCACCATCAAAGTTAAAGAATACAACATAGATTGAATGCAAGTAAGATAGGTAAATTTTATATTACCTAGAAATAACAATTCCACACTCTATAAAATCTCTTCGTTTCCCTTCCTTTCCATTTGGTTCACTTCATATTCCACTGCCCTTTTTAATTCTTCTATCTTCTCATTCCCTCTGAAGATTGAAAGCCTAAGAGACAACGTTTTGCCATTGAAGACCGATTTCCGTTCCAATCCCTGCGAGAGAGAAATAAAAATGCTGCGCATTACACATAAGTAAATTTTATAATACCTACAAATAGTAATTCCACAATCTGTAAAATCTCTTCGTTTCCCTTCTTTTCCTTTCGGTTCACTTCTTATTCCACTGCCCTTTTTAATTCTTCTATCTTCTCATTCCCTCTGAAGATTGAAATCCTTACAGACAACCTTTTGCCATTGAATACTAATTTCCTTTCCTATCCCTGAGAGAGAGAAATAAAAATGCTGTGCCTTACACACCATCAAAGTTAAAGGATACAACTTAGATTGAATGCAAGTAACATAAGTAAATTTTATATTATCTAGAAATAACAATTCCACAATTTATAAAATCTCTTGGTTTCCCTTTTTTTAATTTTGGTACACTTCTCATTCTACTGCCCTTTTTAGTTCTTCAATCTTCTCATTCCCTTTGAAGATTGAAATCCTTATAGACAACCTTTTGCCATTGAAGACTGATTTCCTTTCCAATCCCTGCGAGAGAGAAATAAAAATGCTGTGCATTACACACCATCAAAGTTAAAGATTACACCCTAGATTGAATGCAAGTTATANCCTCTAAAGATAGAAATCCTAAAAGGCAACCTTTTGCCATTGAAGACAAATTTCCTTTCCAATCCCTGTGACAGAGAAATAAAAATGCTGCGCATTACACACCATCAAAGTTAAAGAATACAACTTAGAATGAATGAAAGGAACATAAGTCAATTTTATATTTCCTAGAAATAACAATTCCACAATCTGTAAAATCTCTTTTCATCCCTTCCTTTCCCTTTGGGTCACTTCTTATTCTACTGCCCTTTTTAGTTCTTCAATCTTCTCATTCCCTCGGAAGATTGAAGTCCTTAAAGACATTCTTTTGCCATTGAAGACTGATTTCTTTTCCAATCCCTGTGAGAGAGAAATAAAAATACAGTGCATTACACACCATCAATGTATAGGAATGCAAATTAGATTCAACGAAAGTAACATACGGAAATTTTATATTATCTAGAAATAACAATTCCACAATCTGTAAATTCACTTCGTTTAACTTCCTTTCCTTTTGGTTCTCTTCTTGTTATACTGCCCTTTTTAGTTCTTTAATCTTCTCATTCCCTCTGAAGAATGAAATCCTTGCAGACAACCTTTTGCCACTGAAGACTGATCTCCTTCCCAATCCCTGCGAGAGAAAAATAAAAAAGCTGCGCATTACACACCATCAAAGTTAAAGAATACAACATAGATAGAATGCAAGTAAGATAAGTAAATTTTAAATTATCTAGAAACAACAATTCCACAATCTATAAAATCGCTTCGTTTCCCTTCCTTTCCTTTTGGTTCACTTCTTATTCTACTGCCCTTTTTAGTTCTTCAATCTTCTCATTCTCTCTGAAGATTGAAATCCTTAAAGACATTCTTTGGCCATTGAAGACTGATTTCCTTTCCAATCCCTGCGAGGGAGAAGTAAAAATGCTGCACATTACACACCATCAAAGTTAAAGAATACAACCTAGATAAAATGCAATTAATATAAGTAAGCTTTATATTACCTAGAAATAACAAGTTCACAATCTGTAAAATCGCTTCGTATCCCTTCCTTCCCTTTTGGTTCACTTCTTATTCTACTGCCCTTTTTAATCTTCTCATACCCTCTGAAGATTGAAATCCTAAAGGACAACCTTTTGGCATTGAAGACTGGTTTCCTTTCCAATCCTTGCGAGAGATAAATAAAAATGCTGCACATTACACGCCATCAAAATTAAAGAATACAACTTAGATTGAATGCAAGTAATATAAGTAAAATTTATATTAAATAGAATAGGGGTGCACAACCTTTTTGAGTGAAGGGCCACTTGCACAGCAGGCTGGCTAACGAAGGGCCGCAGATCTATTTACACATGTTAATGACAAATGTAGTAATGTTTATTTAAACATTAGCGTTCCATTTTTTTTTTATCAATAAACTTAGTAATATCAATAACTTAGTAGTGTTCCATTATTNACCATCAAAGTTAAAAAATACAAATTAGATTGAATGCAAGTAATATAAGTAAATTTTATATTACCTAGAAATAACAATTCCACAATCTGTAAAACCTCTTCGTATCCATTCCTTTCCTTTTGGTTCACTTCTTATTCTACTGCCCTTTTTAATTCTTCAATCTTCTCATTCCCTCTGAAGATTGAAATCCTAAAAGACATCCTTTTGCCATTGAAGGCTGATTTCCTTTCCAATCCCTGCGAAAGAAGAAAAAAAAATGCAGCGCATTACACATCATCAAAGTTAAAGAATACAACCTAGATTGAATGCTAGTAATGTAAGTAAATTTTATATTACCTAGAAATAACAATTCCACAATCTGTAAAACCTCTTCGTATCCATTCCTTTCCTTTTGGTTCACTTCTTATTCTACTGCCCTTTTTAATTCTTCAATCTTCTCATTCCCTCTGAAGATTGAAATCCTAAAAGACATCCTTTTGCCATTGAAGGCTGATTTCCTTTTCAATCCCTGCGAGAGAGAAATAAAAATGCTGCACATTACACACCATCAAAGTTAAAGAATACAACTTAGATTGAATTCAAGTAATATAAGTAAATTTTATATTACCTAGAAATAACAATTCCACAATCTGTAAAACCTCTTCGTATCCATTCCTTTCCTTTTGGTTCACTTCTTATTCTACTGCCCTTTTTAATTCTTCTATCTTCTCATTCCCTCTGAAGATTGAAATCCTAAAAGACAACCTTTTGCCATTGAAGATTTTCTTCCTCTCCAATCCTTAGCTTAGAATAAAAAAGCAGGCCTTATGCTACACCTTATTAACTGAATTAACTTAGATTGAATGCAAGTTTCATAAATAAAGTTTATATTAAAAATAATATGAATAAAGTTTATTATGCTTAGAAAAAATTTTGTTCCAATGTTAGAAGTATTTTAACTTACCATTTTTTTTATCAGCTCTTGTATCCTCATTTTTTTTTAACTGTTTCTTTACTTTCTTCAGTTAGTTTTTAACAAATTTTACATACCTTCAAAACACAACCTACAGTCAAGTATTCCAAACAGAAAATGAATCTTATAATGATTTTTACTTATTGTGTAAACTATTTTGCAACAATGAATACTTTTATAGCTAATAGTCTTCATTAGCTTTGTTGAAAACACTGTAAAAAATAAGAAAATTAAAAAAGAGCCCAATAGTCATTTTCAGTGTGCGAATTTATTTTTTAGGAAAACGTAAAACATTATGAAATATGATATCCCTAGATTTGCTATTTCATTCTACACAGTTTATCAGGGTGTTCTAATGTATTTTTAGACATTAAGTAAAAATATACATAAATTAGTGATGAAGTTCAAATTAATATAGATAATGATCTATAAAACTTGCAGCAACGGAATCGTTTTTTACCTCTATTTATTAATTTGTGTTAATTTTTAGTTTTATTTTATTTTCTATAATGTTTCCATATTATATGTTAAAGAATTTTTTCGTAAATACAGGTATACCTGTAATATACCTGTATATATTTCTATTTGGTAGCTTTATCCTTATATCCTTGAGCATGATCTAAAAACAATTTATTTTGTTAATTTTTTTTTCTTCATTTCTGTAGGTTTTAAAAATTTGTAGTAATGAGAACTATATTTAAAAAAAACAGATTTTCCGTTTAGCAGTTACTAATAAACTACCAAATAATTGCTTCAAATAACGCCTTTTTGGTTTTTATTATGATTATTATTATTTTGAAACAGATAAGTGCTAGCCATAGACTATGCTAATTTTACCAGAATTTTTTTTCTTCGGGTAATTTCTACCTTCTAAATATATTTTCGAATAAAGATAATGCATTTTGACACTGCGTTTCATTTTAAGTTCTAAAATTACACTGTTCACAAACATTTTAGATTTCTGAAAGCCTTTTATAACATTTGCTTTCAACTTGTCGTAATTTCCTTCCATAATCAAACGTGCTCTCATTGCATGATTACTTCATTGGACATCGATGACATTTTATCGAACATCTTGTATATCTTTACTTTTTGCAAATTCAGAAGCATAATTTTAAGGTTTTACATATGCTGTAAAACCATTTTGTTAATAACACAGGGGAATTTGTATCAGATGGATGGTAGCAGACCAAAGTTAAACCTCAAGACAGAAAATTTTATCGTTTAATTTTAATCTTAAGTTCTTCAAGTTTAACAAAAAAAATATGTTATCCATTAAATGCAAAATTTCATCTATTTGAACAAAATGAAACATTTTACGTTTCTTAGATGGCTACAAACACCCACATAGAAAATCCTATTAGACCATATTCTGGAATTTTATTCCTATTTTGGTGATTCGAGACTGAAAGATTTTTTTTTTTAAAAAAGCGAAAGTGAAATGAGACAGTGTAGTGAAAAATGTGATGATGTGACATTTTTGTTTATTATTTGAAAACGCAGAATGGGGTTTTTATATTACCTAGTACAGTTGTTCTATGATTTCGGTTCTAAGAGATATCTTCTTAGAGATACCATCTGATAAATTTCGTCTTAATGGCGTCATCTATGTCCTAAGACATATCATGGATTCATTTTGTAAGGACAACCTAAAGCATATTAACTGGTAAATAGGATTTTTATTAAATCTCCATCTGAAACAAATCCAAATGATGACATAGGTTCGGAAATTAAAGACGAATGCAAACATGAGCACGTTTTCTTTAAGTCGATTACATATTAAATGAACTAAAATTAATATATACAGTTATCTTTTACAACTTTTATTATGATTTGATCAAAACTACTTTTGATAACACTTACCCAGGTTCAACCAAGAAAATCAACAAGGGAATTATTTGAAACACTTAACATTTTCAACCAACTTTATTAAAATTCTAATTTAAAAACACACTCCAAACATTTCCAAATGCTATCAATCACACATTTTCAAATTATACTTTACTTCTAGTTTAATATTTATCAACACCAAATTATATTTTCAATAAAAATGCAATTAAAAATCTATGGCTCAACATGCTATTACTTCAAATCTAGTAAAACAATTAAAAAAGCACACTTATCTTAAAATCTACCAAACTCAAT